CGGCCGGGGGTGCCTCGGGGCAGGCGGCTCCCCCCCTGCCCGGGCCCGGGCCCCTGCTGCAGGTTTCCAGGGAACGGGGAAAATTTCCTCTCTCTTCTCAACCAGAGCAAAAAGCAAACCCTCCTCGAGATTCCCAGCAGAGCGCTGCGACCCACCCGCTGCGAGGATCATGCGAGAGGTACATCTTGGAACAAAACGCCGTTTATTTCTTACTTTGTCTCTCTGTTACACCTGATGTCCTTCCATGTCCCCAGTATGACACCTCATGGCATGTCATAGTATGTTGCAGCATGCTGTATTGTGATTTGTATGTAATAGTGGGCACGTTATTTTATTGGGGAAAAAAAAATGCCCCAAAGGCAGCAGGTATCAATCTAGAAAGAAGATGGTTCAATCTGTACCATCAATTGCTCAGAATACTTAAAAATGAACCGAAAGACCAGAAAAGCTCAGGAACCTGACAAGTAAGGGTTACGTGCTTGGAGGCCAAAGCAACTTAGTTCATCAATTAGCAAGGCCCAGCTGCTTTAAATACTAAAAGGTAGGGGAAAAAACAAAACAAAGCAGGTGGATAGAAAGAATATCTTCTTGCAGGCAAGTGAGGGGGAGAAGGTAATGAAAAGAGTTTTGTTTTACTTGATTCAAAACTGTGCTCCAGCTGTGGGCGGGAGCCTGTGCTCTGTGGGCTGGGTGACCCCTGGCTTTGGGAAGGGAAGGAGGCAGGGCTGGTTTGCAATCACGCTATTTTGGGGCCTGCTGCAAAAGTCAGAAGGCTTGTGTAGGGTTTGATTTTCAATATTCATATGGTCGTGCTAGCAGGGGTGAGCTCTCTGCACGTGGCTGTCATTTTCACAATCTTGTAGATAAGCTGTGTCGGCACAGCCTTTATAAATCCCATTTTTACTAAAGTTTTATGACACAGGTGTAAATGTGTGCTCTGGACTGGTATCTTCCATAGAGGGTTTTAGTGAGAGATCTTATTTTTAGAGGGTTGGTGCATTTGTTTTCTATGCCTAAGGTACATGATGAAAAATGTAATTTATAATGTGGCATAATAAAAATGGATAATCTTTGAGGGGGTAGCAGACTTACTCCCATACCTACACAATATCTTTTTCAGTAACATTTTGATAATGATTTTTACATATGCGTTATAGTGGTATGAGAGGCGGTGACACTGCATCAGGCAACGGTAGGAGCTGCTGTGTCAACTCTGACATTATCAAGACCGCTATTCGTGTACAAAGCAGTCAAGTTGGACAAAGAGGGAGGGAAGAAACACTCATTCAGCAAAGGTATGTGGCTAGATTTTGCTTTTAGTTATTCCACTTTTAGTCAGAAATAACTGAGTGAATTGGAAGCATCTTTGCTGAATTAATACATGTGTGAATGCTCTGAAAGTTTCAATGCTTTTACAAAATTAAACCAGACCTGAGAATAGCTGGGTAGCTTTCTCCTCTGAGAGTTGAGATACACCGCCTCCTGTACTGCTGTTTGGCAAGACTGCCTATTTTAAAGAGGCAGTCCAATGTTACAGCTGTTCTTAAGACAGGCTGCATTCACTCTTTGATTCTGCGTGGTATTGCCGTATCTGTTTATTTCATTGTAATCATGATAGCTTGATTTGTGCGAAAAAGGTTGTTACATGTGAAGTGGTGGAAAACAACAGATCTCTATATCTGTACGGACAGTGGCTGGTTTTCCCCTTACTCAGGGACTTCGTGCACTTAAGGTGCTACAGGCATCTGCAAAGCAAAAGCCATGGAAATGACAAATGAAAGCTGGGCTGGTGCATTCTTCATTATGGAAAAGCTCCTGCCAAGTCAAAGACCAGCCATCAAATGAGAGTTTCATCTGAATCCAGAGGAGAGACTTAGGCTGTACTAGTATTACTAAAATTGAAAAGCTGCCAAGTGAAATTTGCAATCTTGTTTTGGTGGGGGTTTTTTGTTTGTTTTGTTTTGTTTTGGATTTTTGGGGGTTTTTTTAGTTAAATAACTGACAAACAGAGACCATAAAAACTTAGTTGCTTAGTGTATACACACAGTTACCTTTTGAGATCATCATCCTTCTTTATATTATGCAAGCAGAAATTCCTATGTATGTTTGCACTTCCCTAGTTTGTTAGCTAAGGTACATATGAATAGGACCTTAAGTACTATACTGGCCCACATCAGAACATTAAGATTTCAGGTTATAGCAATTGCTGAGTTCAGGGCTATAACATAAATTCTTGAACTGCTTCCAGTAGTAAAAGCAGGTGGAGGTTGCGGGACAACCAGGGGATCAGGCCCAGCCAGCACAGGTTCATGAGAGGTAGGTCCTGCTTGACCAACCTGATCTCCTTCTGTGACCAGGTGACCTGCCCAGTGGACGGGGGAAAGGCTGTGGATGTGGTCTACCTGGACTTCAGTAAGGCCTTTGACACCGTCTCCCACAGCATTCTCCTCGAGAAGCTGGTGGCTCACGGCTTAGACAGGTGTACTCTGCGCTGGGTCAAAAACTGGCTGGACGGCCGGGCCCAGAGAGTTGTGGTGAATGGAGTTCAATCCAGTTGGTGGCCGGTCACGAGCGGTGTTCCCCAGGGCTCAGTTTTGGGGCCAGTTCTGTTCAATATCTTTATCAATGATCTGGACGAGGGGATCGAGTGCTCCCTCATTAAGTTTGCAGACGACACCAAGTTGGGCGGCAGTGTTGATCTGCTCGAGGGTAGGAAGGCTCTGCAGAGGGACCTGGACAGGCTGGATCGATGGGCCCAGGCCAACTGTATGAGCTTCAACAAGGCCAAGTGCCGGGTCCTGCACTTTGGCCACAACAACCCCATGCAGCGCTACAGGCTTGGGGAAGAGTGGCTGGAAAGCTGCCTGGCGGAAAAGGACCTGGGGTGTTGGTCGACAGCCGGCTGAACATGAGCCGGCAGTGTGCCCAGGCGGCCAAGAAGGCCAACGGCATCCTGGCCTGTATCAGAAATAGTGTGGCCAGCAGGAGTAGGGAAGTGATCGTGCCCCGGTACTCGGCACTGGTGACAGAGCACCTCGAATACTGTGTTCAGTTTTGGGCCCCTCACTACAAGAAGGATGTTGAGATGTTGGAACGTGTCCAGAGAAGGGCAACGAGGCTGGTGAGGGGTCTGGAGAACAAGCCTTATGAGGAGCGGCTGAGGGAGCTGGGGTTGTTTAGCCTGGAGAAAAGGAGGCTGAGGGGAGACCTCATTGCTCTCTACAACTACCTGAAAGGAGGTTGTAGCGAGGTGGGTGTCGGTCTCTTCTCCCAAGTAACTGGCGAAAGGACGAGAGGAAATGGCCTCAAGTTGCACCAGGGGAGGTTTAGATTGGATGTAAGGAAAAATTTCTTTACTGAAAGAGTAGTTAAACATTGGAACAGGCTGCCCAGGGAAGTGGTTGAGTCACCATCCCTGGAAGTATTTAAAAGACGGGTAGATGAGGCGCTTAGGGACATGGTTTAGTGGGCATGGTGTTGTTGGGTCTATGAAAAAACCCAAACACCTGTAAGTCAACAAAGAATTTCTCTTAGGTTTTCTGTTGTTCTTGCCAACTCTGGTGTAAAAGCTGCAAGTTTGCTTGCTTACCCTGTTTGACAGGTCATCTAAGTAGAAGCAAGGAAGAGGGAATATCACTTTTTGGATAAAACAAACCCACAGTTTTGGAGAGGACAAAAAAGAGAAATTTAGTCTTTTTCTGCTCACGGTTTTTATACGATGTTTCCAAAACACATGCTAGTATGAATTCTGTGATCAGCTGAAAGAGAAGCAGCTTTGGTCTGAGTTAGCAATCTGAAGTAGATGTAGACAAAATTGTTGTCTGCTGTTCAGAACTTGGTTGAAGTCTCCTGATAGTTTATGCTTGTGTGCAAATAACCTTTTTTCATCTGCCCCTAATTGTTATAATCTGTCATGAAGAGAAGAGTGGGAATGGCATTTTAAAGCAGGTGGAGGGTGGTGGGATCACAGGTGACGGCAGTGCAGGATGCGAGCAGGAAGCACACGCCTTCTAAGGATAACTTGTTATTTAGTTAGGTCAATGTTTCAGAGGAAAAGCAGCAGAGGAGAGCAAGGACTTGGTGCTGGAGAGGAAAAGGTAGACGACTACGTCTCCAGGATGAAGACTTTTCGCTTCTCTGGGGTGGTGGAAGTTAGTGTTGTAGGGGGTAGGTGTTTTTACTTGTTTTTCATTAATACTTGCCTCTGCAAAAGGAAAATCTTCCTTCAGGACTGGTCCAAGATGTGGAACAAACACACCCATGAACTGGGGACTGATGCTTACTACCTTCTACCTCAGGTCCCAAACACTACCTGACTTGCCGCTACAAAGATGTCTGTGTGTGTTTAGCTGAAGCATCTCATCTCACACCCACTGCCGAAATGAAACAAAATAGCAGAGTGTTATAGAAACATGAAAATCTAGGCAGGAGGAAAAAAATATATACTGAGTGGTTGGGATGAGAGTAAGGGAGCACAGTAAGCCCCCAGTAGTCATTACTTGCGTTGCTTAATGTATCCGCTATAGCGGCACTTGGATGCTCCGGCGCTAAGCACCAGTACGATGACTGGAGGGAAAGGAGAGGTCCCTGCTGGGCAGGGGGTGAGGGGGGGTGTCACAAGGACCTTGAGAGGAAGGCGAGCTGTCAAGCAGGAGGATGAGTTTACTCTGGGTTAACGTGATGGGTCTATTATCATAAACTTGGCTGATAACAGAGGAGGGGGCTCGGCTGCAGGACGGTGCTGGGTTGTCAGCTCTTCGGAGTGGCTGGGGGGTTTAGTTACGTGCTGAAAAGCACAATGGTGCTTGCTTCTGGCTGGGGTCTTCACAGGCTGCTATGACACCAATAAGTAAAAGTTAATTGCAAATTTATTTCCACGTAGCAATAAGGGAAAAACACTTGGGGCCAGTTTCCTTTAAAGAAAAGGGGGGAAAAGCCTGTTCTACACTCATTTGATTAACCCATGCTGTTAATCACTGCCAGGTTTATGAACCTCTGTTAAAAACTTGTTACTCTAAGGGGTTTCAGTTCAGTGATTGAAAAACAGCTTTAGGGCCTGGGTAGGTAAGAGTAGCGAGAAGTACAAGTAGAAGCACTGAGCCTTTGAAGAAGTGTATAAATAATTAGCAACATATTTCATGTGGACTTTTTCGTCCACTGTCAGACCTGGGATTTTATCAGAACATGATGAAAAAGTAGAAAGAACTCTATTCCAACATAACAATGTTGAAATCTAAAATACTTTGGTATACTAGAAGCTATTTTAGGTCAACAGCTCTGCACTGCTGAACTGTTCTTGTATCTGCTGCTGTTTCTTCAGAAAGTGCCTGAAAGGTTCTTTACACTCTTGTGTCTTTTGAATCTTAGATCCATATTTCATGGTTGCAAAACATACAACGCAGGTGAAAACCCAAACTGCATCTTAATAAAGCAAAGTGACGAATAAATAGTAGCCCATGCAACTTCAGAAGATGAAGGGAGATATAGCAGGAAAGTAGAAAATAAAGGTGGGAACTTCTCTAGTGGAAAAAAACCAACCAAAACCTCTAGGACATACCCATGCATCTCACTCAAAAGAAAGTGGAAAAAGTTTGTTCTTACTAATAGACAACAAACACAAATCCTTCTAACAAAATAGAGGTATCTGGAAGCTAATGGCATCACAAGTGTCGTAGATACCAAGCACAACACTGTTTTAATCATGGTTTGGTTTAGCATCATTCCAGTTGGTTTGGTTTGTTGGTTTTTTTTTTCCTGTTTATGTGGTAAAACTGTTTGCTTTTTAGGGCAAGACACCTACCGTTTTCAAACACTAATCCTGATCTCTGGGGAAAAGCTCCAGCTCTACCTGTTGTAGATGGCTTTGCTCATTCCCACCTGGAGGAGGAGCTCAGTCAGCATCAGCATGAGTTTTGTCCAACTAAGAATCCATTTCAGCCTCAGCATAACCCAGCGTCGGCTGGTGGGTGTGGGACCCCTATGAGAAACCCGCGTGCTCAAATGCAGAGGTTATTTTAGCAGAAATGTATCGGTCTGTGCTACTTTCAGGAATGCTAATGGGACTTCAGCGAGGTCAGGACTTCACGAGCGCTTTGTCTATTAACCTGAACAGAATCAAGATTTTACTCTTCACCTTTTTCTACCGAGGCTTTCTGCTCAGATTTGAAGTCTGGAAGAATAAATCGAATTCAAAGAGTGAACTTCATTTTGCCTCCAGTTTGAATGTTTGGGCTGAGTGATGGTAATCTCAGTGCAAGGCCACAGGCCAGTGAATTTCTAAGTCTTGGGCATGAGGCATTTTCTGCCCCTTCTACTTATATTAGGAATTACATAGACCTGTTTAAATAATGATTACAGCTATTCTTCTAATAGCTTTCATGCTTGTGTGCATTTGTGTTTTAAGAGGCTAGTACTTAGCTAGCTTTAAGTTGTATTTGTTCATTGTGCTTGTCAAAAAATTTTAAAGGACTATGCTATGTTATTAAGAATGGTGTTCTCTATTTGTGTGTTATGTGATGTGAAATGCAGTGGGATCTCTACAGAATATAATACATAGTGAAACGAGAAGTTACAGCTGATATGTGGAAGGAGATAGCTTCACCCCTCATCCTCCTGGGCTTAGCTCAGCAGCATGTGAGCTCCTAAAGAAATACCACGAGGCAAAACTGGACCTGATGGGTGCCTGCGGGCACTGCCCGTGACTCTGGCCGTGCAGACAGTGTACGGCTGCTCCCTCCTGCAAGAGGCACCGGTGTGAGCAGGCCAGTGTTTGCCCACCCAGACAACTCTGCAGGACTCATGACAGTTTGTCACAAACCCAGTGAACTTGGCGGCAAAGTCCTAGCTGCAATTCTGCACCAGTCCAGGTGTTACTCCTCTGCAAAGCGCTATGCAAGTTAGCCTTTCTTACTATTTAAATTTTCACTTCCACTCTTGCTCAGAGTGTACTACTCTCTCATTTTTACCTTTCTGTCTCTAAACTTGCCTTTGCTACTTAAATGGGAAGCTGTGTGCAAGAGACTAATGTTTAAGTGCCAGACAAAATTCCCAGATAGATGCAGAGCCAGTCCCTCCTCCTTAACAAAGTTGGTTCTTCCCACCCTGGTTTTGAACTGGAAGAAACGGTATAGAAATCCATAGGCTTCAGCAAGGTAAGCAACAGAAAAAGCAGGTCCATATTTCCTTGTCTACCTTCAGTCTCTTCTGGTGTCTGCTGGAAGCTGACGCTAACCTGGCTATTTCATGTCCCACAGAGTTAGACCGACCTATTTGGTAGCCATCTCTATGGTGTGTCTGATCTTTATTTTCACAGTAGCCCACAGGGCAGGTATTACACTTGACAAGTGAGTGGAAACTGTGCCACTCAGCTATTACTTTTTAATCTGCTAAGCAGGAAAGTGAGCCTTTTAAGTGCCTGGCTTGCGGGAGGTCATCATTAGTCTGTCAAGGTATTTCTTTATTGCTATCTTCCGTAAATGTATTTGATATGGCAACTCCTAGTTATGTTGCTTTGAACAGACAAGACGTACTGTTTATGAAAACAGACTTCTTAAAAGCAAGCTGTGGTGGCAGGTAAAGGAGGAGAGGTTGTTTACAATATTTTAAGCCAAATGGTTCCTTTGGCAGGAGGTTTTCTGTAACAAGTGAGAACAACAAGAATTAGCTCTCTCAGCACTTCAACGAGCAGAGATTTTTGTCTGTAATGAGAAGACTGAGACTTGTTTGACATAAACTACAAAACAACACAGGAAAGATGAAGAAGGAGGGCAGAAATACATTACTGAAGGTGAGGAGAAACGAGTTCACTGCTCTACTGTGAATTCAAGATTCTTGCTCATTATAATGATTACAGCTGGCATCATTCCAGAGAAGGGGTTGAAAAAAGGTAGGTCTTACCAACCGTGCTAAATCCTATTGAGAAACTGACCACAGCAGCATCCTACCTGAGTTCATCTAATCCAAATCATTCCCATTTTATTCTTCTGTACCGAGTCCTTCTTTATGCAGAAATGCAAATTCTCTTTGGACTCCTGAGATTTGAAAACTGATTAGAATTTTTATGTTCCTCTGTTAAGGGTAAAAATAGGTTATCCCAAGATAGACAGCCCCCCAAATTATATACTGATCTGAGAAAATTGGAATAGTTTACTTTTGTCATTAAATGAATAGCTACTTTCAGCAACCAGAGGTGCAACCATGTCATTGGCACTTCCAAATTTTTGTTGTCTTTCTGAATTTTTTAGCAGTTTAGTGATAAGTTGTTGTGGTTTAACCCCAGCCAGCAACTAAGCACCACGCAGCCGCTCGCTCGCTCCCTTGACGGTGGGATGGGGGAGAGAACCAGAAGAGTGAAAGTGAGAAAAAGCGTGGGTTGAGATAAAGACAGTTTAATAGGGAAAGCAAAAGCTGCGCACACAAGCAAAGCAAAACAAGGAATTCATTCACTACTTCCCATCGGCAGGCAGGTGTTCAGCCATCCCCAGGAAAGCAGGGCTACATCATGCCTAACAGTTACTTGGGAAGACAAAATGCCATCACTCTGAACACGCCACTCCCCCCACCCCCTTCCTTCTTCTTCCCCCAGCTTTATATGCCGAGCATGACATCATATGGTGTGGAATATCCCTTTGGTCAGTCGGGGTCAGCTGTCCCGGCTGTGTCCCCTCCCAACTTCTTGTGCACCCCCTGCCTCCTCGCTGGTGGGGTGGGGTGAGAGGCAGAAAAGGCCTTGATTCTGTGTCAGCACTGCTCAGCAGTAACGAAAACATCCCTGTGTTATCGACTCTGTTTCCAGCACAAATCCAAAGCACAGCCCCATACCAGTTTCTGTGAAGAAAATTAACTCTATCCCAGCCAAAAGCAGCACATTCTCTACCCCTTATTCCATACCACTTACATCATGCTCAGGTCTCACACTATCCCATACATCCTCATTAACCACCACCCCCCCCCCCTCCACCCTTTGATCCAATAGA